TTATATAAAAATATATTTACATATGTATGTGCCTGTATTTTTACCTCTATAAATGTCCTTTGCCTCCTAGTTCTTTCCTCTATTTCCTCTTGTCCCACTATCATGTTTGACCTTCATTCGGCTTTCAGTAATTCCTCTTGGCTACATTGCACTTGATCAAGCCCCACCAGGCATCCTAAGCCCTCCTTGCCATTGATTTTAGATCACTTGTTATTCCCTTGTCCCTGGGTTTGTTGGCTCTCCTCTACCTTTCCCCCACCTCCCCCTCTCCCATGTAACCCTGGAACCTTTGGTCTTGTTTTCTCCTTGGGATTTTATCCTGCCTATCTTATATAGATACATGAAGAAAAAAGAAAGAATATAAGCAATTATAGATCTGTCACAGTTAACACTTTCGCAGAAAGTTCTCCCCTAAGATCAGAGCAAGCTTCTCTATTATGTTTCAATGTTGTACTACAAGTTCTAGCAGAGCATTATGAATTCTATGCCTATGGCCATAATTCCATTCAGAAATGAACTGTCCTTGTTTTGTCGGTGAGAAAGGATTAGTATGGTTTATGCCTTAAATATATGAGCGGTAAAAGAGACTAGACAAGCAATGGAAAGCAGCAGCCTTGGGAGAGATACCACAGGACATGGAGATCTCCAAAGCAGTGAAGAGACAAGAAGCCTCCTCCAGAGCCGACAGAAAGCCTTCCCTGGAGCCCGCACGCACTCTGAATGCAGACGTCGTCTACCCTCCGGCACTGCGAGAAAATGAATTTCTCTTTGTTACAACTGCCCATTTGTGATATTTCTGCTACAGCAGCACTAGAAAACTAAAACACAGAGCAATTAAATAAGAAAAAGCAATAATAAAAAGTATTTAAATTGGCAAGGAAGTAAAACTATCTCTATTTGCAGATAGTATGATTGCATCCACATATATAAAGACCTAAATAATCCCCATCCACAAAAAAATTACAATAGAGAATTCAGTAAAGTTGCACACTTTACTGCATAATCAACATACTAAAAATGTTGCATGTTTTAAAATGTTGCATTTTTATATACTAGCAATGAAATGCAAAAACAAAATTTAAAATACCATTTAGAATAGCATAAACAAGGCAAAAAACTTAAACATAAATTTAACCGAGGTGCAAGATTTATATGCTGAAAGCTATAAAACACTGCTGAAAAAAATTAAAGTTCTAAATAAATGGAAAACATCCCATGTCCATGAACTGGAACACTTAAAAATTAAGATGGAAATACTACCTAAAGTGTTCTATATTCAACACAATGCTTATCAAAATTTCAGTGTCCTTTTTGGCAAAAATGGAAAAGCTGATCTTAAAAGTTCACTTGGTGCGTTAATCCGGGTAGACTAGAGAAACAAATTCAGAGACACACATATATGTATAAGAAAGAGGTTTATATACAAGAGCAATTAATACTAAGAAAACATCCCAGCTCAGTCCAGATCAAGTCCATAAGTCTGATATTAGCCTATATGTCCAATACCAATCTATAAAGTTCTCTTCTGACTCATGAAGCACACGCAATGATGCCGAATGCAGGAAGATCACAGGCCAGTGGGTGAGAAGTCTGTGGATCCAGTGGCATTGTAAGCATCTCAGTGCTGGCAGGGGTCTCCATGTGGCTTCTCCAGATCCCAGGGCTGCATCAGGGATGCTCCTCAAGGATGTCTCGCAGAGAGTCAGCCTTGTCAGTAGAGAGTCTCCAAGGGAGTGAGTTGAGAGAGAGTGTCTCCCACCTCCAAGGAAGAAAATATAGGAGTTCGCAGAATCCTCAGGATAAGGCCATGCCCACACAGAGGCCTCATTGGCTATGACCCAATTGGCAGACTAGACTCCACCCCTTCACTCAATCCTTTCAAATCCCAAATTGACATCAGATTATGTAACTATCACACTTGGAATTGCAAGGAACTTCAAATAGCCAAACACTCTTGGAAGAGGAGAAAGTTGGAGGACTTACACTTCCTGATTCAAAAGTTACTACAAAGCTGCAGTAATCAAAACTGTGATATTAGACTAAGAATACATAGACCAATGTTATATAGAGAACCGAGAATCTGGAAAAAAAACCACATTTATCTATGGTGAATTAATTTTCAATAAGGATGACAAGAACATCCAATAGGGAAATAATAATTCAACAAATAGGACTAGGATAACTACATATCTATACGCAAAAGAATCAAATTGGACCCTTATCTCAAATCACATACAAAAATTAATTCAAAATGTACCAAAGACCTAAATGGAAATGTCAGAACTATGAAGTTCTTAGAATATTGGGATACATCTTCATGATCTTGGATTTGGCAATGGGGTTCTTAGATATAAAAGCATAAAAAAAAATTTTTTTAAGCATAAATAACAAAATAAAAAATAAATTAGACTCCATTAAAAATCTCAACTTTTATAGACTAAGGAATACTATCAATAAAGTGAGAAAACAATCCAAAAATGAGAGAAAATACAAAAACATTTTTAAACATAAATGAGCAAAGGACTTAGGCATTTCCCCACAGATTTATAAATGGTCAAGAAGCACATGAAGAGATGCTCAATATTATAAATCATGAATAAAATGCAAACTAAGATGTAGCAACGATGAAGCATACAACTTTCCTGTAGTTCCTAAATGCTTCATTCCTTCCCCCACCCCCTATCATGATCCCAATTCTACCTAACAAATCTGGCTAGACCAGAGGATGTACACTGGTACATATAGGAACTGGAAACACAGGGAATCCAGGGCAGATGATCCCTTCTGGACCAGTGGTGAGTGGAGATAAAGGGAAGGTGGAGGAAGGGTGGGTTGGAAAGGGGGAACCGATGACAAGGATCTACATATAACCTCCTCCCTGGGGCATGGACAACAGAAAAGTGGGTAAAGGGAGATGTCGGACAGTGCAAGATATGACAAAATAGTAATTTATAAATTACCAAGGGTTCATGAGGGAGGGGGGAGCAAAGAGGGAGGGGAAAAATGAGCTCATGCCAGGGGCTTAAGTGGAGAGCAAATGTTTTGAGAATGATGAGGGCAATGAATGTACAAATGTGCTTTACACAACTGATGTGTGTATGGATTGTGATAAGAGTTGTATGAGCCCCTAATAAAAGGATTAAGAAAAATGCAAACTGAGCTGCTACTTCACTCCCACAGTTGGCCTGTCAGTTCCGATTCATAGTCATCTTAATGCACAGTCTATAGCTGACCCTGAAGATTTCTCAGACTGCAATCTCTAGGAGAGCAGATTTCTAGTTCTTTTATTCCATGGAATGGCTGGTGAGTTTGATCTGCTAACCTTTGGGTCAGTAGCCGAGCTGCAGTACCTTCACTCCCACTACATGCTTATAATGAAAAATGTGAATAACAAGTGTTGGTGAAGATGAGTAAAAGTTGAAGCCCTTGTATTTTACTGTTAAGAACGTAAAATGGTGTTGTGGTTTGTTAGACACAGAACTATCATAGGACCCAGTAATAAAAATTAAAATCAGGTACTCAAAACAAAAACTTGTGCATGCTTATTTATAAGAGCATTGTGCACAGTAGACACAAGGCGATAATTCAATGTCCATCAACTGATAAACAGATATACGTATTATATTCATATTGTCCCCCCAAATGGATATTATTCTACTATAATGAAGTGCTGATTCATGCTACAACATGGATAAACCACAACAGATATTATGCTAAATGTAATACTAAGACTTCCTGCCCTTGAGTCAATGCCGACTCATACGGACCATATAGGACAGGGTAGAACTGCCTCCCATGGTTCCGATACTGTAACTGTTTACCATGGGAGTAGAAAGCACAAAAGCCCACATATTGCCTGATGTCATTGATATGAAGTGCCCAGAATAAGCAAATGCATAAAAACCAAGAGCAGATTAGTGGTTACTGGGGCAAAGGAATGGCCTGGGAAAGCTTAGGGGACATGGATTTTCTTTTTGGGTGATGGCAAATCTAAATGTCTACATGCTTTGCAACTAGATGGAGTGGCTGCACAGCAGTGTGAACATAAAAATGTCACTGCACGATTTATAATTTAAAAATGGTTAATTTTATGCTAAGTGAATTTTATTTCAATAAAGACAAAAAGGAAGTAGTAGTAAGAAAATCAGACACCTGAGATTAAAAAGGAAGAGCAGGTCCCCAGAGGTTCGCCTGCCCTCCTGCAGAGCCCTGAGTACCAGCCTTTGGCCCACCTCTTCCCTAACCCAGCAAGCAAACCCTCCTCTGGCCCCAGTTCTCAGTCTTCCTGCCAGTCATCCTGTGCCCACTCAGGCATGGGTGACAAGTACTCGAAGTCTGGCCCTTTATAGCGCAGGGCATGCAGGAACATCACGAGGTCCTGGGGCAAGGGGTCCCGCCGCACCAACCGGCACTCTGCACAGAGGGGATCTGTCTCCGGTTTCACGACATCTGCTTCAGCAGCATTCCCTGGTGCTGAGGCCAATGTGTTGGGACCCTTGTGGGCCATCTCATAACCGCTGTCCATCTTCTGAGCAGCTGAAGCCAATGCTTCCAGGCTCTTCTTGTCCAGCTCTGAGGAGAAGGCCGTGGAAGCTGCAAGTCCGGAGGACAAGTCACCCTCACAGAGCTCCAGCACATCCAGGGACTGTTTGGCCTGGTGTTCTGCTACCAGGTCCTGTAGCAGTTCCTCATCTGTCTTGGGAATGTGCCCACCCCGGCCACGGGAGGAGCCCCAGGCGACTGAGTTATAGATAGGGTCGTTGAGGATGGGGTGGCCCAGGAACTGGAGGTGGACTCGGATCTGGTGGGTACGGCCTGTGAGAGGCCGACACCGCACCACACTGGAGTGGCCGTTGAAGCTCAGCCTCTGAAACACTGTCTCGCAGGGCTTTCCCCGGGGATCCACACGGCATACCCCCACCTTATAAGACACGACCAGGATGGGTTCCTTGCAGGTCACCTTCTCCAGGGGGAATTCTCCCTCCACTCGGCACACATACTCCTTCTCCAGCTGCACAGGAAGGAATAGGAAGGAGAGTCAGCCCAGAGCCTAAACTCTGAAGCTCATGCCCTGGGTGGAGTAATCAGGCATGCACTAGTGTCGTAAAGGAGAGGATCTAAACCCCAGCATTCCTGTTTACCTGCTGCATGGTCCTGAGTACCTTACTTAGCCTCTTTAAATGCCATGAGCTCATCCAGAAAGATGAGGCTAGAAAAGTATTGTCAGCTCGGGCTGTGGTACGGATTCTGTGAGTTGGGCTCTAACAGTGCTTGGTACCATGCCTAGTATACAGTAAGCACCCAAGACGTGTCTTAAAATCCAGATTCGGAATTCCAGATTCAAGATTCTAATCAAGACTATAAACGCTTCTAACTATGCCTCTTCCAACTTCACTTAGCAGCCTTTCCCCACGATCTGATAAACCAGTACTTTCTAACTTTTATTGCTTGCAAATTACCAAGAGGCAGTGCATCCCATTTCTAAAGGTCTTTAGAAACATAAGAGAGAGTTAACCTATCTTTGGCACTTTAGATCCCGGAACTTCTGGTGGAAGGAAGTTTGGCCCACTTCAGATCTAGAACTCAATGATGCCCTTTTGACCCAGAGGGTTCATGAGCTCAGCAAGTGGCCTACAGTGGAAGAGCCTTACTCACCTGCCGGTCTCGAACCTGCTCATGAATTCTCTCTGAGACAGCAGTTGTCTTGGCAAACATGAGCACCCCTGAGGTGAGGCGGTCGAGCCGATGCAATGGGTGTAGTTCTTTGAGTTGGTGTTCTTTGCCAAGGATGAAGATGACCGTATTGTGTCGAAAGCGGCCACAGGGGTGGACAGGAATGGAGGAAGGCTTATCCACAACTACCACATCTTCGTTCTCGGCTAGCAGACGGATAGGCTCTGATGTGACTGGTGGTTCATGCCGGTGCACTGTGTTCCGCAAGAAGTCATTGTCCTGCCAAAGACAAAAGCAACCAGTCTTTCAGGAGCCGGCAGCTTGGATCCAGCCAGCATCGCATCAGTGTTCCCTCTTCCTGACCCAATGTTAAAGTATATATCAAGAGGTGTACCGAACACCATGCAGCTAAATGAGGCTCCGCTATCACATGCACGGTACATCTGTAATGCCTTTTCTGCCTTAAGGTATGATCCCAGTGTGATCTGACTATGTAAAAATCCTCAGAGAGATAGCAAGCATTGAAAAAGTTCCACAATATACACAAAAATGTTGGGTTAGTTCTGCGTGGCGGAACTATGGATGTTGTTTTGGGTTTGCTTATCCTTATTTTCTCTATATAGTTACATCTTAAAAGTTAAAAAAAAAGCTCTTCCAGTCTCTGGTGGTCCGGGAGCAGCAAGTGTTGGTGCAGACACGTCCAAGTCTAAGAACCACACCATGCACAACTAATCCCGAAAATGGCACAGAAATGGCATCAAGAAACCTGATTACAATTATATTAATTTCTTAAGAGTAGATTTTAAGTTCGTGAGAAACATACGTTCTGCCAAGAAGTACAACCAGACGGGCCTGAAGTAAATGCAGGCCCCTACCGTCAAGGCCAAGGCGAAGATCCTAATGGGCTTCAACTGCAAGCTCAGTCAACTGGCCTACACTGCCCATCCCAAGCTTGGTAAGCGGGCTTGGGCATGTACTGCCAAAGGCCTGAGGCTCTGCTAGCCCAAGGCCGGGTTACAGAGCAAAACTGACACTCTAGCTAAGATCTCAAAGCCAGTTCAAGTTCTCAAATGTACCCTAATCCCAATTTGAGCTCCCACAGGAGCCCAGGTTCCCACAAAGTAGCGCTCTCCATCTGAGGACGAGAGGGACTGGTGTGACCCCGTGGCTGCCATCTGCATGATGCTGGTGCTTTCCTCTACTATTGGTATAAATAACCCGGCCTTGGGCTAGCAGAGCTTCAGGCCTTTGGCAATACGTGCCCAAGCCCGCTTACCAAAAGCTCACTAAAAGCTCAGGCAAAATTGCCCAGGCCTCCATTTCCTATCTGTAAAAGGCATGTTAGGCTAGCTCTGTGTTCTCAAAATTTGGGCAAGAAGGGATTCCCATCAACCATTCCCCACGTCTGAATCTGTGTCTCTCTGCCCATGTATGGTGAACCTGTGTTAATTTCAAGCGTGTCTGTTATCTCAGCTGTGGTGAACTCAAAATGAGTGAGGAGGCAAAACACGGGACGTGAGAAGTCTCGTCTTCCTCTTGGCTATCTCATAATCCCATCACACACCAGGCTTTACATGATATGGTTTCAGTAATAGTTTTAAGAACACAGGTTCTGGAGGTCCGGCGCCTTTTCTCTCAGGTAAAATGGAATGGCAATACCTACCCCAAATTATCATTAGAATGAAATGAGTTAAAGTTTAACGAATATAAAATGCTCACCCCTTTGCCCAGCACACTGAAAGGAGGCATACATGACATTTGTACAGAAACCTACAATACAACGGGTGGAAAGTGATCAGGGCCAGGGCCACAGGACAGTGCCTAAAATGGGTTATGGGGATCCCCCCGGGGGGAAATGGCTGTTTCATTGGAAACAAGGAAGCCCCCTCGATGGAATGGGTTTTGAGGTATTTGCTAAACGAGCGTTCCAAGTGACAGAGCGGACGCTTCGGAATGACCGCGGTTTTACTCCAGTACCTATGCCCCAGTTACTCCGAGAGACCAGATCCCTTCCTCCTCCGCTCCTGGCCGGCCCCATCAGGACTGCACCTTGAGCACGACGCTGAGGTCCCGGACCTGCTCCGCGTTGAGGTGCAGGCGCCCCGCCCGGACCGCAGCCTCATAGTACGCCAGAGGCTGAGCTCGGAACTCGGTGGTGAAGACGTGCAGCAAGCTGCGGCCCACCCAGCGGCCTTTGCAGTAGGTCTGGAAGTCGAAGTAATAGGGGCGCACCTTGCGCAGGCCGCCCTCAAAGTAGTAGCTGGTCTCTGCAAAGTGGTCGTCGCCGAAGCTCACGCCAGCCCGCCGTTTCTTCGGGGGCGGCACGATTCGCTCCCCGGTAGCGCCTCGCTTCTTTGTTCGCTTGCCGGGGCCCGGGGCGGCGACCAGCGCTGGCTCCCCGATCTCCGGGGGCGACTCTACTCCAGGGCCAGCGGGGTCCGGGCTTTCTGCGTCTCCGCTCCGCTGAGCTGGAGACTCCAGCCCCCCCGCGGCTTCGACCCCACTCGGCTGTGTGTCCGCCATGGGGCCCCTCCAGCTGTCCCGAGTGCTGGTGAGCTCGAGGCGCCGCACTGCCGAGCGCCACGGCACCAGGAAGGCGAGCCGCGGGCAGTGCCCCAGCCACATGCCCCGCTCGGCCGTCGCCTCTGGGTCGCGATCTGACGACGTCACTCGGCGCCAGCCAATCAGGGAGCTCAGTGCCCAGGCTGCCTGGACCCGCGTTAGGGGGCGTCGTACTCAAAGTCACGACAGCCTTAAGCAAATGTTCTTCTCCCAGGGAATCAGGATACCGAGATCTCCTTGTGCCAGGTCAGACGTCCTTTCACGGAGGAAGCCCTTGGCCAAGTTGGGGCTCCTTTGTGAAAACCACGGCGAGAGTGGATCCTTACAGATCCAAGGCCCCGGGGTCTGGAGAGACTCCTGAAAGCAACTTGATGTCAAAGCGGGAAAGGGAAAATCCACCAGCCGGAGGCCTGCACTCTGTGCATGTGTCCAAAAAACACCGACTTGTACACTTTAAAAGGATAAATATGATGCTATGGAAATTATCTCAGTGGAGCAGTTAACTTTTTTAAAACGAAAACAACAAAAAAACCAGTATTTTCACGCATCTCAGGCCCCCTGACAGCAAGAGGATTAGAGCTCTCCCATTTACTTTTCATATGCTCTTATACTGAATGAAAGTCACCACTGCATCGGAAGATGTACTTGTCAACGATCTTAAATGAAAAACACGGAAAGCACCACTAGGTAATTTCCTCATGGGGAGAATTACTGAATGAATATTTGTGCCTCCAGAATTCACAGGAGGACTGAAGACCAGGCTCAGAAAAAGACCTAAATCAAGGGAATCCCAGCCCTTTCAGAATAGGCATCTGACACCACCCACGGAAGAAAGCAAGCAGGCTAGATTGACTCCCTTGATTTGGTCTGAGCAACCAGAAAAATGGAGTATCTATGAATTGAAATGGGGATGACTATAAGTGGAATAGGTTTGGGATATAAGATCAGGAGATGGATTCTGAATATGGTAGGTTACACATTGGGCTGCTAACCACAAGGTTAGCAATTTAAAACCACTAGCCGCTCCAAAGGAGAAAGATGAGGCTCTCTACTCCCGTAGAGTTAACAGTCTCGGCAACCCACAGGGGCAGCTCTACCCTGCCCTATGGAGTCACTGTGAGCTGGAATAAACTCGATAGCAGTGGGTTTGGTCAAGTTCAAAATGTGTATTTGAAAGGGAAGTGGAGATGTGTAGGTAGTTGGGTATACAAGTGGTAAATTCAAAGCTAAAATGAGTTATGTTGCTTAAACTAAAAATTCTACTTGATTTACTACAAGAATTCAAGTCTCCTAAGAACAGTGGGTAAAAAAAACCCTAGTGGCATTGTGGGTTGTATGTTGAGCTGCTACCACAAGTCAGAAGTTTGAGCCTACCAGCTCCTCCACGGGAAAAAAAATGAGGTTTTTACTGCCATTAAGATGAACAGTCTTGGAAACCCACAGGGGCAGTTCTACTCTGACCTATAAGGTCATTGCGAGTTGGAATTGAAGCAAGGGCAGTGAGTTTGCTTTTTTTGGTTTAAGAGCAATGGGAAAGTATCGCATAGGTCAAAAGCTGAACAGGTGTGGAAAGGAGAAAGAAACTACACCCATGAAGATATATATGTTTGACAGAGGATATATACCTATGCTGTAAATATATCTACAAATATAGTAGGGCATACTCAACTTACAGCAACTATTTAAAGAAGAATAGAACTGCTCCATCGAGTTTCCAAGACTGTAAATCCATTGTGCACAGACAGCCTCATCTTTCTCTCAAGAAACAGCTGATAGGTTTGAACCTCAAACTATGTGGTTACCAGTCCAATGTTTAACCCACTGTACCATTAAGACTCCTTATAGAACATATAGGAAAACTTCTTAGATGGAACCGTGTTAGTCTGGGTAGACTAGAGAAACAAATCCAGAGACACTCATATGTGTAAAAGAGAACTTCATATCAAAGAGCAATTGTACATTAAGAAAACAGCCCAGTGCAGATCAAGACCTTAAGTCCAATATTACCCCATATGTCAATACTAGTCCATAAATTCCTCTTTAGAATCATTCAGCCATACAATGATGCTGAATGCAGGAAGATTACAGGCCAGTGGAAAGTTTTGTGGATCCAGTGGTGGTGGAAGCATCTCAGCGCTGGCATGGGTCTCCACATGGCTCCTCAAGCTCCAGGACTCTGGCTGCATCAGTGTAACTCCATGTGGCTTGACAGCAGGAAGATGAAACACCAAGTGTCTCCTGCCTCCAGGGAGGAATACAGGAGTTCCCAGAATCCTGAGGAGAAGGCCATGCCGACACAGGGGCCTCACTGGCTAGGACCTGATTGACAGGCTAGACTCCACCGCTTTGCAAATTGACAGATTATGTAGCTGCCACAGTAACCAAACACCTTGAAGGAATGAGTCCGGCATGAGGGCTCAGGACCATAGTCTTGGGGGACGCCATGGACAATTGGCATAACATAGTCTACAAAGACAATCTTCTATATCCTACTTTGGTGAGTAGTGACTGGGGTCTTAAAACCTCATGAGCCACTATCTAAGGTGTAGTTACTGGTCTCTGTCCATAGGAGAAAAGAGTGAAAAAAACTGTAGACACATGGAAGTAATCATTCCAATGGACTAATGGATCAGCATCCGACTGTGGCTGGCTATCACTACCAACAGCTCTTTAAGGGGCACGTTAGTCCAGTGGTTCTCAACCTTCCTAATGCCACAACCCTTTCATACAGCTCCTCATGCTGTGGTGACCCCTCAACCATAAATTTATTTTTGTCGTTACCTCATAACTGTCATTTTGGTACTGTTATGAATTGGACGACCCCTGTGAAAGGGTCGTTCGACCCCCAAAGGGGTTGAGACACACAGGTTGAGAACCGCTGCATCAGATGGACTTTGATAGAATGGGAGAAGAATCTGGGACAAATTTCAAAATCACAAAAAAAAAAAGACCAGGCTTACTGGTTAGATATAAACAAGTGGGACCCCAGAGACTATGCCCCTTACTCACCCTTCAGGTCTAGAAATGAACTCACTCCCATGGCTCAATTTTCAGCCAAATAACAGACAGTTATTTGTATAAGGGAACAATTATACTAGGGAGATATTTACTCCTTAGAATAATCAATTATTTGAAATCAAAAGGGCAGTATTTATCTAAGGACAAAGTTCAGAAGAGTTAGAAAAGAATTGAGGAATGGAAACAGGAATCGGAATAAGTGATGTTCATTGTGGGGATTGCAATCAATGACATGGAACAAAATGTGAATGCACTGGTGAATGGAAAACTGGTTTTCCTGCAAACCTTCCTGCAACCCAAACCAAACCTCACTGCCAACGAATTGGTTCCGACTCATAGTGACCCTTAGAACAGGGTAGAACTGCCCTGTGAGCATCCGAGACTGTAACTCTTTATGGGAGTAGAAAGCCTCGCCTTTAAAAAAAAAAAAGAAAGCCTTGCCTTTTTCTTGAGGCCAAGCTAGTGGTTTTTGAACTACAGACCATACAGTTAGCCACTCTGCCACCAGGACTCCAACTTTTCCCCTATCTCACACACACATATGTATGTGTCTATTTTAGAGGAATGAGCTATGTGTGAGAGATGATCTGATCTCTATTACAAAAGAATCAATATATATAGAGAGAGATAGACATATGAGGGGGTTTCAAAAATCCATAGAAACTGGAAATTAAAAGAAAATGATTTTCCCACAAACTTTTTAAAGGTTATATTATATTACATATGCACCAATCACCTGCCAATTTGTCATATTGTGGTGGCTTGTGTGTTGCTGTCATGCCTTGCCACTGGTATTTCCAATACCAGTATGGTCACCCATAACGTATACATTTCAGCAGAACTCCCATACTGATGAAGACAGACAAGGAGGGCTATTTCCAAAAGTTAGCCAATGAAAACCTTATGGCGCACGACAGACCATGGTCCAATATAGCCAGCTCCAGCTTAGAGAGATCGTATGTAAAATAGAACCAAACACCATCGCTCCTCTGCCATCCTCACAGTAGACGGAAGGGTTGAACCCACCGTTGCCACGGAATCAATCCATATGGTTGAAGGTCTTCTCTTTTTGGCTCATCCTCTACTTCCTGTAGTGCAGTTTCCCAGATGATTTGCTCAGCAAACAGTGAGCCAGCATGGTGAAAGAATATGCCCCTGCTGCTGGGGGGTGTCATCACAGGGTACAGGGCTTTGGACTGTACTGGGTGACACTGACACGGGTGGGGTGGGCATAGGGACACCAAATGATTGTCTATAAAATGTTTTTGTGCATGGTTTCATCCCAAATTCCTTATTTTTATAAACATATCCCTGTGGTTAGCTATAACAACAAAAACCACTTTCTAAGCCCAGCTAACATGAATCAATCCATCTACAAGGCTGAAACTCGATTCAAATGTACTTTGTGAACCTTCTAATATGTAGCTGGTCAAAGCTGCCAACAGGGCCCAATTACTTTGAGGCTTCGAATCAAGTGGTTTTGGGACACACTACAAGCATGGGCTGTTGTTTTTGTTGCTGCGGTGTTTTTATAATTTTTTATTTTATCAAATAGCCTGAGGTTTCAGCCACAATACTGTGGTATTTGTGAACTTGTATTGATAACTTTTCTGAGAATGAAGTAGTACTTAAAACAAAAGGAGGAAAAAAGTTTTAAAAATTGTAAAAGTGTTCAGCTACTAATAATGTAAGTCAGCGTAGAAAGATTTTATTTAAAAGTTATTGTTATATCAACATAATCTAAGAAATATTAAATTTAAGCAATTTATAGCTATATTTGCCACCTATTATTCTACCATTAAAACTGATAATAAACTTTACTAAGGATTCCATATGGTCTGGTATGGGAAGAAGTCCATTGGGGGTAGCACTATGAGTTAATGCACTGGGTGATACCAATCCTGCTGACACCAGTGCCTGCCATATGCTTTTTCTAACATATTTATTTTTCCTTTTCTCATTTTTTTTAATAATCATTTTATTAGGGGCTCATACAACTCTTCACAATCCATACATACATCATTTGTGTCCAGCACATTAGTACATATGTTGACTTCCTCATTCTCACAACACCTGCTTTCTACTTGAGCCCTTGGTGTCAGGTCCTCATTTTTCCCCCTCCCCCTGAACCCTTGATAATTTATATTATTTTACCTTTTCTCATTTTAAACTACGTTGGAAATCCCTTGTTTTGTTCAAACTACTTGATCTAAGTACAGGTTCCAAATGAGCACAATTATCCCTATTTTGTTCTGATTCACACAATTGTGTGCCTTTGCGTAGTGAACACCAGGTCTTATCTGTCTTGAATTTCCCTTAACACAGCCGGAGCTGTGCTATCAGTTGACCAAAGTTCCCGAGATGTGCCAGAGTAGAACCGCCCCCACAGGGTATTTATTCTGCAGGTGGCCAAGGCTCTCTGCCTTTTAGCCTTGGATCAAATACCAAATCTTCCAGAGTGCTTAAGCCTTGTGCCATCAGGTATCCAACCAATCAGGAAACTTCCATAACCCTGTGGATGCAAAGTGAGGCTCTGTGAGCGTAGCAAAGTAACGAGGAGAGAGAAGGGTGACATTTCGGACACAAACACCTGCCCACAGAGTTGCTGAGCAAATAAGCTGAAACTCGGGGCCCAAGAAATGCCAAAACTTTCCTTATTAGAGGTTAGGAGGGGCCCTGCAGGTTCCAGACAGAATCCATCACAAGTATACTGCATTTGAGACGAGGGACTCCATTCACGTGACCACACCGTTTCCGAGCAACGACGGCCCCGCCCATCACTCTACTCTCCAATCCGAACTCACTTCCTCACCCAGCTGCGTTCCTTTCGGCCAATCGACGCACAGAAGTTCGCCGGCGATCCGGGTGGTGATTGGAGGACTCTCGAGACCCGTCACTCAGAGACTCCGCCCTTCCCCGTTGCTTCCCGGGTGCCCGCAAAGGAGCTGGGACGAGCGTTCGCGCGCGGTGGGGCCGGCCGTCGGCAGGTGAGGAGTTCCCGGTGCCAGGGTCTTGTCTTCCCCACTCTGGCCCGGCCCTCAGGGCCGAACTCAGGACGCCCGGCCACATCTTGAGGCCGGAGTGAGTTAGACCCAGGTCAGGACTCCTGGGTTCTGTGCGCGGTTCTGGCACCCCGGGAAAGGAGGAGCGAGCGGACTTGGGGTTTATCTGGGTTCCCAAGACTTCTGGAAGAGGTGGCAGCTGGTTTGGCCCAGGCAGCAGTTCCCCAGGGCCGCGGCGACACGTCCTCTTTTACTTCCGGGCCTTGGCAGCCCGCTAAACTTTCCTGGAATGCTTCAGCTCTTGCCTCAGGCAGCCTGCCGGATTCTAAAGGACCTCCCCGCACCCCTAAAGAAGATGTCAATACACCCTATAAGCCGAGATGCTTTGAGAAAAACAGCCCAGGCGGTGTGCGTGGCTGCAGGGACGCCCTGACAGTTTATTTGCCAAGAAGACGGCGTGGGATTGGGTAAAAACATGAATTTTGGAGTAGCGCAGGTCTCGTTTCCAATCAAGGATTCACGATGGATCATTAATATGCCCTTGGGCATGTTATTCCCTGAGCCACAATTTCTTCATTCCTGAATAGTGGACATTCGTATTTTCAGGGTGTCTGTTAAAACAGGAGCTTGGACGATATAGCGTAGTTTTTGTAGGTAAGGAGCACACAGACTCGTGGGTGGTGACAGTTTTATCTGACATACTTGTCACCAAGCCACACTAATTCTATCTTCTTGAATGTGGGGCCGTGCATGCTTTAATCTGTACTGTGTGCAAGACAGAATTTATTTGGGGAAGAACAAGTAGTTGCGTTTAAAAATTGTTTGAAAAAAAGTTTATACTGGAAGTACCCAAGAAATTTCATTTTCGAAAGACAAACTTCATCATGAAAACTATTGCAAAACCTGGAGAAGAACCAGATCTCCTTTGTCATATTTTTGTCTGTAACATATGAATCCCTTGTGTTAAAAGACATTGCTTAAAAGCCAATTGCCTTCCTTCAGTGGGTAAACGGGTATCTGGGTGCCACATGCTTATACTGTCTCCTTAAAGCTAGTTTTAAAAAAAACTTTTTTAAAGATCATTTTATTGGGGGCTCTTACAGCTCTTATAACAATCCATACATCAATTGTGTCAAGCATATTTGTACATGTTGCCATCATCATCTTGTAAACATTTACTTTTTTTTTTGAACACTTGGTATCAGCTCCTCTTTTTTTCCTCCTCCCCCCACCCTCGTGAACCCATGATAAATGACAAATTCTTATTATTTTCATATCTCACACCAACCACTGCCTCACTTCCCCCATGCTTCTGTTGTTTATCCCCCTGGGGGTGTGGAAAGGTGTTACACGTCAATCATTTCTATTGGTAAGGCTTGCTTTTACTCACTTGCGTTTCTCTTTCTCAATTCAGATTCCTGATGAAAATGTTTGAGAGCATTGACTCGACAGCCGCTAGATCCGGCCGGGATCTCTGGGCTGAAATCTGTTCCTGCCTGCCAAATCCTGACCAAGAGGATGGTGCCAACAACAACGCTTTCTCAGACTCCTTCGTGGGTTCTTCTTATCCGGCAGGCGAAGGCCAGAGAGAGGCAGCACATGTTGCTGTCAAGCCACCTCTACAGCCGTGGGCCCCCTTGCACGATTCTGAAGTGTATTTAGCATCTCTAGGTAAGTTAGATCGGTGAAGATCGATGTGCCTGTCTGCTTCTGTAAAAAGGTACAGCTTTGGAAACCCGCTGAGCAGTTCTCCTCTGTCCTCTAAGGTCACTATGAATCAGACTCAACTCAGTGGTGGTTGTGTTTTGTGTTTCTTTAAGAGAAGTCAGATGGCTTTTTCCTCTGGATTTTAATGAGCAGTTTATCAGAAGCTGGTGGCTCTGGGGGAAACACATTGACATTCTGTTACATCAAGCCTGGTTTTCTAGTCTTAATTTAATTTTTTAAAATTTTCGTCCTTGCCACATATATTTCTCGGGATTCTTTCAAGTCAGGTTGTTGAGAAACAGCTACCCTTTCTTTGTGTATCTCTGGAAACCGTTTGTCCCCTCTTGCCTCTGACTGCTTCGTCTCGTTTCTGATTTCTTTCTTTGGTGTTCTGTAGAATTTACTTGCGTGTTATTGGTGGCCTATTTAGCCAACTCAAAAGTATTGAACCGTATGCCATCCCTAAACGAAAGGCGTAACCTCAGAGCTCAGTGGACTCTGCTGTTATCGTTTGAAAACCTGCTGTGTTAAACAGATGGTTTGAATCAGGAGCATGTTAAAATAAAATCCGTTTTGCTTATTAGCCATTTTATTTAATGTCCCCTGAATATATCTTCTGGAGCCTTGGTGGCGGAATAGGTTCTGTGCTGGGCTGCTAACCACAAGGTCAGTGGTTTAAGCCTAGCAGCCGCTCCCAGGGAAAAAGATGAGGGAGACTTTTTGTTCCCCTAGGGTTTACAGTCTCACCGCCCACAGGCCAGTTCCCCGCTGCCCAAGAGGGTGGCTGTGAGCTGGAATCTGCTTGATGTCAGTGAGGTGCTTTGAGAACACACCTTCACAGTTCTGTCCTGCAGCCTTAAGTTTAAGTAGATGGATTCAAAACACAAGAAAGAGATTCAGATTACCCCATGCTAAAGTAAAAAGAAATGCCAGTCTAGGGCAGTGAGGGACAACTTTTATAATTTTACCCTTTTATTTTAAAAATGTTTCCCATTTTATTGGCATATAATCCGCATAGTACACAATTCAATAGTTCAGTCACATCAGGAAGCTGTACAATCATCACCACAATCAGTCCTTTAATGATTGAACATCCATGAACCCGATCCTTTTGTGACCAGCTGTTTTAAGCAAACCCCATACAAAATACAGAGGGGTTGAATTGTCTGGAATGCCTGGGCTTCAGTCTCTGCACACAGTGGTCATATGTATGTAAAGGGATGAAGGTTAAAACATAAACCCTTCATTCCTTCTCTGCGCAGGCTTGGAGGGGAGATGCCTCACTCACAAGGGGCTCTGCTAAGCTCCCAAAAGACAGAGGCACATCTTCAGGTCTCATAAGCAATAAGGCAAATATTGACCAAGAGTCCATGTTTCTAGTTCAGGGTTGATGCTGTGTCAGTGTCTTGCAGGGCGGTGCTTGGCTGTAGTCGCTGGTCCTCTTGGCTCCGGGCACTCAGTGGCCCCTCAAGTGCAGGGAGAAGCAAGCATCGACCACCTCAAGTGGAGAGAGTGATGGCCAGCGATCTCATTCTGCTGCCTGCAAATGCGCTTTATCAGTGTGTCTCTTCTAAGCCTGGTGTCTCTGCAGGGCCTGGTTTTGCTGATCTATTTTGAGCACTTTCCCTTACACCTTAGGAGGTGCTTGGGCCTGAGTCATGACTTCCCTGCCCTTTTCAGGCTCTGGTCTAGCAATGTCTAATTGTGCATTTATGCTTATAGCACCAGGGGTTCCATACAACTAAGCTTAGAAATAATCATTTGCAGAAGGAAAGGCAATCAAGAAGAAACTTAAAAAAAAAAAAAAGGAGTTTTTGAGGAAGGAAGAAGAGTCGGAAGAGAGCTTATGTGATTGCCAAGAATTATCTTGGAAGCAAGGGGATTTTGTTAATATATTGGAGAAAAAGGATTTGAGAAAAATGCTAATTGTAGTATTTTGGGAATGATAACTAATGAAAAAAGGCGAGGGTAGAATGTGAAATTTGAGGTATCTAGCAGGAGAGTGGCATGGGGTCAGGTTTGTGTCCTGTGTCTCGTGGAAGGTACGTGTAGCCTGAATGTGTGCGTGTGTCTGTGTGTGAATGGGCGCGTATGGGGAGGGCCAGACGAGTGTGTGAGTCCGCCCCTGCGCCCCTCTCCCCACCTACACCTTGATCTTATTTGATCGGGTCTGACCCCAGCCCGCTGGGCCAACCCAAAATGAAATGATTGCCTCCCTCTGGGGCGCTGTGCAGCGAGGCAAAAAGGAAGAAAGAAATTTAAGGTCTAATGTGAAACCACAAAAGAGTAATGCTTACAGCTGTGGCCACTGGCCGAGAATTCTGTTTTGTGGTAGCCAGTATGTCTGTTTAAGGACGAAAGGAGAAACCCAGATCTTTTGGCCTATTGGTGCTAGAATCCAGGGGTTATAAGGGACTTTCATGAAGATGGTGATGGTTATGACTGGTGACAAATCTCGAGAGTTCAAACTGCACTGCTCCTTTCTAAAATCAGTTCCAATGATTAGAATTTCTTACTATGGGGAAAATGGGAGCGGCTGTTGGGTTCAGAGCAGGGAGTAGTTCCCATTCGTGCCTGTTGTGATCAGCGAGGGGAAGGCCTGTTCCAGCCCAGAGCACCTTCCACCTTGACCACCCAGGCCAGACAATGTGAAGATTATTTATTGCCAAATAAGCCTGCTTCAAAGAGAATTCACTGATAAGGACATCAGCACAGAACTTAGCTAGTTAAACAAAAGACCTCCACAAACCTTTCCACATCCCCAAGGAGAGCGCAAATATCTATCAGTGATGCTTTTCAATATGAGTGAGCGCCTGATGGCGGTCTACAGCAACAAGAGGTGTGTATTGCTTTGCTCAGTGGGTGCTAGCTCACTTGGCTGATTTAGATATGAAAGCAGGATTGCAAGTCCTAATGGTTCTACTGGTTCTGGGTGCTAGATGTCCAGATTGTGTCCCATTCCCCGCCCCGCCCCACCCCCCCATGGGGTAGGGAGCCATCATTTCCTTGTTATTATAGTCAAAGGCAAAACTAAATTAAGGCAAATAGTAAATGGTGAAACCCTTTCTTGTCTTCTTCAAAAGGAGAAATCTGGTCTATAATTACACTTAAAATGCAGAGAAGAGTAATTAACCATCTATCATCAGGAAGCCATATGGGCCATTCTCAAAGGGATTGCAAGACATTTGTTTTTATGAGGTTCCACCATCCAGACCAGCAGTTGAGCAACTTTTAAAAAAAAGTTCTTTTTCTTTAATCAAGAATTGAATCACACATAGAGGTCCTACTTAAAGGTCTCTTATTGCTGAGTTCTCTTCAAGTCAGTTTTAGTGTCTAATAAGCCAGTAGATCTCTCATCATTTCCCTATTTCCTTCTCCTGAGGTTGAGAATCACGTTATGTCACTCTAGCAAAATGAAAAGCTATGTACTCCTCAGAGAGACTACTTCCGAGGAGTGGGGAAGAGATGAAGGTGTGCCCACATCAAGTCCGGGAAAACAAGCGTTCCTCAGGGAGGCCCCTGCTGGATTCTGTGATTCAGAGAAACTGGTCATCGATTTATTATGAGAAATTATGTTTTTCCCCTTTTCTGGAGCTAAACAATTACTTGATACAACAATGGACGAGGGCACCGTGAAGGGAATTAAATATACACCTCTCTATATGCCTTCCTTTCAAAGGAAGCTCTTATGCAGAGGGGAGAAATTTTTAAGTTGGCATTCTGCATTTTCGGTGTAACTTTGTTTGATTCACTTTCCTTGTTAAGTTTCACTTCTCTCTTTAGAAAAGAAACTGAGGCGAATCAAAGGTTTAAATCAGGAAGTAACCTCCAAGGACATGCTTCGAACCCTGACGCAGGCCAAGAAGGAATGCTGGGATCGCTTCCTCCAGGAGCAGCTAGCATCAGAGTTCTTTGTGGACGGACTTGATTCCGATGAGAGGTAATGGGTTCCCTGCCCAGTCTCAAGTGATGGTCTGTCTCACTGAAGACATTGCTCTTTCTCTAGAGAAGCCAGGGACCTAGACATCTGAGTCCTGATATTAGCAGAGATCAACATCGGCTCTCCTTTAAAAATCACAGAATTCATCCTTGATGAGGTTACTGTATGCTTTCAGGTCAGCAGCAGATTTTTAACAATCGGTTATTTTCGCCAGCATCCTACCTTGGGCTACCTCTTGGTCATAGAATGAACAGAGTCTAGGAGAGCCAGTGTGTCACCATGGCTCAGAGCCTAATTCACTTGAGAAAGTAGAAACCAATCAGCAGATGGGACTTTTTCCTCCTTACTTGCAATCTCCATCTCTCTCCAGAGTTTCTATCATATTGTCGCCCTCCGTAAGTAGACAGAGACTACATGATGTGAAGAAGCCCATTAGACACAGACACTGGGAGGCCCTTTTACCTGGAGCCAGGGAGACTTTTTTTTGCCCTTAAAATTACTAGTTCAGGAGAGAGAATATATATGTGTGTGTGCATGTGTGTCTGTATAGTTATAGATAGAGATATATAAGACTGCATAAGAGAACAGTCAGAGGAAGTGATAACAGGTGCTTTGGGAATTGAGGGGCCATTGAGCTTCCCAGAAAAGGAGCCCTGGTGGCTTAGTGGTTACACGTTGGGCTGTGGTTTGCAAGGTCAGCAGTTCAAAACCACCAGTTGCTCTCAGGAGTAAGATGGGGCGTTTTACTCCTGTTAGCAGTTACCGTCTCGGAAACCCACAGGGGCAGTTTTACCCTGTCCTATAGGGTCACTAAGGACGGGCATCGACTCCATGGCAGTGAGTGAATTGTACTTCCCAGGGGCTCTGGAGTTCATGCTGGGAAGGAGGCGGGACTTGAACAGAGCCTGCGCTGGCGCAGGTGTAGAAAAGTGGGCAAGCATTTGCTACAGAGAGCAGGAGTGCACTTGATCCTCAGGAGCGAAGCTTTGCCACTTCTGGTGGTGTGTTCTTGGGCAAGTAGCCTCTCTGTGCCTCCGTTTCCGTTTCAGCAAAGTGGGGTGGGGTGGGTGGGAGAAGGTTCTTCATCAGCTGTGAGAGTTAAATGCGTTACTTTGTATGAAGTGCTTAGAACAATGCTGGCACTCGGGAAGCACTAGACGAGGGGCTTCAGAAAGTTTGGGGGCGGGGGGGCAAATCATCGTTGTTCAGTTCCATTTTTCCACGAACTTTTTGAAGCCCCCTTGTATAAGTGTTTGTTTTTATTAACATTATTCTTAACATAATTTTAAAAGTCAGCATGAAATTATTCAAAATAAGTGTTGAAGGGGGTGGGGGTAGTGGAACTGGGGTTGGGGGTGGGGGGCGGGCAGGAGTGAAAGCCTGAAGTATAACAAAGGGCTTGAGATCATATGATTTTGCTTAACATGTTTGAGACACAGTAAAAGCCTGCGAGAGCCAGGACCTGTGTAAGGCGGAAACCTGTCAAAGAAGGAAAACATAAGTTTTCCTCTTAAGCAGAGAGTAAGGAGCCCTGGTTGGGTAGAGGTTACTGATGGGTTGGGTTGCTGACCTTATGTTCAAAACCATACAGGAGAAAGAAGAGGCTTTCTGCTCCCATAGAGTTAGTCTTGGAAGCAGGCAGGTCTGCCCTGTCCTATAGGGTCACTATGAGTTGGCATCAACGCGATGTCAGTGGGGTTTTGGAGAAAACTCAGAGCAATCAGGTAGTGGTGACTGCAGTCTCTTAAAGGCGGGAAACTGATGCCCTGGAAACACAAAGCATTCCCATTGAGTGCCCCCCCCTTACCCCACCCTCACTGTGCCAGCCCAGGTTTGGCCCAGCCCAGGGCAGAGATGTCAAACTCTGGGTGGAAGTCATGTCTGTAGGTGAGACATCAGTCATAGTTACATTATCCTTTTAAATTTTAAACTACTTCCACTTACATTATTTCAGATACTGTAATACCCATATATACTAGTGTATAAGTCGAGTTTTTCTTTTTAAATCATTTTATTAGGGGCTCATGCAACTTTTATCACAATCCATACATACATCAATTGTGTAAAGCACATTTGTACATTCGTTGCCCTCATCATTCTCAAAACATTTCCTCTCCACTTAAACCCCTGGCATCAGCTCCTCATTTTTCCCCTCCTTCCCGGCTACCTCCTCCCTCATAATTTATAATAATTTATAAATTATTTATAAATTATTATTCTGTCGTATCTTGCACTGTCCGATGTCTCCCTTCACCCACTTTTCTGTTGAAAGTCGAGTTTTTCAGCACATTTTTAATGCAGTTTTTGTGGTAAAATTAGGTTCCTTGGCTGATATTCGGGTTGGCTTACACTCGAGTATATATGGTAATATGCCCTGCCCTGGATCCTTCGGAAGGCAATAGCGGATCAAAGATCATGTAAATGTATTCCTTTCTGTCTCTATAAAGTCATCTTTACTGAGCTTCACACTGCCCTAGGCTTAGCAAATTTGAAAACTGAACAGATTCCTGACCCACTAACAGTTTATTATTTCCTTGCCTTCTCTCTCCCCTTGTACATTTCCCTCCTCTTTGGTATTGAGAAGAAAAGCTACAAGTTGCCTGTATAATTGCCACGTAGGAATTCCCTGCCTCTGAAATCAGCTCGACGCTAAGACTCCAGTTAATCTGCCCTGTGCTTATCAGTGTGCTGCTCTTTCTATGGAAGTCATACTCAGGGTCCTAGGGAAAGGGTAAGGGCCTCATCACACCCATTCCCCTCTGCGTTTGGCTTCTCTTTCCCGTTGTCCAGGGGGAGCATCAGGAAACAGTCGGTCTGCATTTGTTTTCCAAGTTTCTGTTTTAAACAGGAGGGTTTTGCCCCGGAGTTGTATGGGCCTTCATGAAATGGGGGTCCAGTGGGAGACCGCCCTCATGGTATGCAGTGACAGTGAAGTAATGGGCTGAGAAATCCAACTCCCTAACACCTACACCCCTGGACAATGAAATTCCCCCAAACGGTGACCGCAGTCTAAAAGTCCTCTGGGTAGGACTTTGTCTTGACTTCAGAGTGTGCTGGTGATGAGCACAGAGTGCCGAGCACATGATGGCTAGTCATTTGCATTGTACTGGGAAGGTCTAATCGCGTTAGAGTCAGGGATTCTGAGTAGTTAAGGGAGCTGGGAGGGGCCACTGCTGAGCTTGACAATCACACATGCCACCTCCCCTCCCACCCCCACTCGGCACCCAGACAAGAAAGGACCCATTCGTTTGTAGGGAACATTTGCTGCTCAGATATTTCTACCTTGGAGACTTGCAATAGGATGAAACAACACACACACTCACTCTCTCACCAGGAAACTAATCACACGGCGCAGGTAAACACTGGAAGCATACCAGACTGCTATAGACGTCAGAGATTTAAAGATGCAGGGTTTCTGCCTCATGCAGAATTTGGTATTTATGTGATGAGTGTTGCCTATCCACCTATCCATGGCAGTCCCCCTCCTCCCCAGCTTTTTTGGGGGGGCTGGGGGTGGGGGGAGACAGGACTGAGGTGTTAGCTCTTCAGCTATTCTCATTAAGCCTTTGGAGGCACTGCCTCTGAGGGGGCCTGGTGCTGCTTATAGCCCAAGTGCCCACTAGGGGGTAAATTATGCCACGGAGCTGCTGGGATGCACAGCTGTCAAAGGAATATCACCATCTCCCCACGCTCAGAGGAAAAACAATTGTAGGAAGCAATTGATGGTGGGTGGGTAGGCTGTATTTATTTGAGTAACTGAGATACTCATTAAGCAATTGATCAGGGAGGTCTGATGCAGCCACGCTTTCCTCCTGCTGTTTTGTACGCAGCACCTTGGAGCACTTCAAGAGGTGGCTCCAGCCAGATAAAGTAGCCATCAGCACAGAGGAGGTCCAGTGCCTGATTCCTCCCGAGTCACAAGCTGAGAAGCCAGAGGCTGGGGACGAGCCGGCGGCCGCGGAGCAGTGAGTTACACCCGAACACGTGTGGACCAGCTGTCTGGGGCCCACAGGGACCTGTGGCCAGCTCGGCTTCAGCAACCGCGAGAATCCAGGGAGGAAAAGAGCGCAACGTTCTCTCTACAGGCCAACAGCTGCAGGCCCCTGAGGACATGCTTGGGGCTGGCATGTGTGACTGTCTTGGATGAAGTGACTGTCCCCGTGCGTGCTGGATCCAAGTGCTGCTTTCCTGTCCGCCTCACAGATGGACCGAGTGCTGGTGCTGCAGGTGAGAAGGCAGCGGGGAGCCTAATGAAGGAGCCAGGACGACAGCTCGTGGAGAAGTTGCCCCCTTGTGGATAATGTCCAAGTTCATTGAGCCATGATGTCTGGCTTCTTCTGGGTGCACCTGCCTATGTCCCAAGCATCCCCTCGGTAGATCGTCAGGGCTGAGCGGGGCTGAGGAGAATAGAGTCTGCCTCCCTGAGTGTGAGCCCAGCTGGGGCTTCTGTACCAAGTCCATAGCCAATATAGTGACTGGTCTTTTCCTTCTGGGGAAACCAGGCAACAGAGAGCTGCATGAAATATGGGAGTTTCTGTGTGTAAATGTCCATCTCTTTCATGCATGGTTTCTCCTCCCACTGCCTCCTGCACTTAAAAAAGGGGTCAGGGGTCTCGATGAGAATGGTCAATAAACTGTTCAGGTTCGAACCCCTCCTGAAGAGTTCCAAGTTGGTTTCTTGTGGCAGCCTTCCGGGCTGAGCTTTGTTGATCATGTCTTGATTCAGCCTGTGTCTGTATAAAGCTTTCTCATCAGAATAGCTGTGTGTGTGGTGCTTTGAACCCGGGAACTCCTAGAGAAGCTCCAGGGCCTCTGCTGGCTTGAATGTGCTCTTCAGCAATCCAAGCTTTGATGCTCTGAGGGTGGGGCACTAAGAGCATGGCTTCACAGAGGGTCTTGCAAGATAACGGGTCCTAGACCCCCAGTTGGAAGCACATAGACTCTTAAAACCATGAGCGGGAACTTGCTAATCTTTAAATAGAGCGTTACACAGGTCCAAAAGGATGAGAACCGACCAGGTGATTTGCTTTGCTCAACTTAATGATTTGAATAGTTTCAGTGTATTTTCCAGATACACTTTCATCTTCTCATCAACGGACGGCGCTAGCTTTATTCCTACTGATTTTTATCAGTAGGATAAGCTGTGCTCCAGAGTTGGCTTGGACTCGACAGCACACAATAACAACAGTCTGGCAGAAAGAGTGGCTCTCCGGACCCTGAGCACTTAGAGAAAGCTAGAATGCTGGCCCTGGACCAAGCTCGGCGTGCCTTCTCCACCCGGGGCTCAGATACCAGACTTCACCTTTCCTACAGAGTCATCTCAGCAGAGTGGATAGTTTCTTTAGCCAGCCCCAAACACTGAGATTTCTCCTCTCCCTACATGACAATTATTATTATTCTCCCTCAGGAAGAACAATTTAAGAGGGGGGGGCGGAATATATATATATATATAGCAGTGTGGTCCCCAAACACTCCCATAGAGCAACTGGCCCTACAGGGGTAAGAGAATGTTTCTGTAGCAGGAAATGGGGTTTGAGTTGTTCAGGCGAGATTCTAGCCTTGCCTCTGTCCCACTTCCCATATTCACTTGCAGGACCTTGGAAGTGTCGGCTGGAAGGCCTTAGCCGAGTGTAAAAGCCTGAGGGAGGTGTGGGAGGAAAGCCCTTCGTTTCACTGTTCATAGACACACCTCCATAGACAAGAGCCCAGTGAGTTGCAGCTACGGTCTCTTAATGGCGTGAGTAGCAACAACTTAAGTGATGGCTCTTAAAAAGGTGAAACTTCATTTACCCAAAGCAAACTCGCTAATAGCTCAAAAAACAAACAAGCTTCTTAGAGATTTAACTTGCGCTGTTGAAGTGGTGAGGAGCCCGGACGGCATGATGGTTATGCATTGGGCTGCCAGCCAAAAGGCCAGCAGTTCAAAACCATGGGAGAAAGGGTGTTGTACTGCCCGTAAAGAGTAACAGTCTAGGAAAGTCAAGAGCAGGTCTGCCCTGCCCTTTAGGCGCTCCCTGAGTCAGGGTTGACTCCGTGGGAGTGAGTTTGGCTTTGCTTTGAAAGGTAGGAAAGGGTAGTTACCAACCTCAGGGAAAGTCAGGGTGGAGCAGGGCCTAGTGAACTAGGACTTCCCTGGCTCTGCCGCCTCTCAGACCCCAGGACTTGGCAAGACCAGTGCTGGAATGGCACAGGCCTGCATCCAGGTATAGGGACAACAAATGTCCCAGCCCCTGTTGCCACAGTACCGCTCTTCCCAGGTGGACCTGCCCACCAGGGCTGTTGCTGGAAGAGGGAAGACCCCTGGAACCACTCCCTGGCCCTGCTTTGGAATGAGTCCCCTAAGACAAGAGAACAGCCCCAGACACGTGAAACAGCCGGAACTTCACTGACAATTCAATAAACTTCCAGACAACCTGGCAGGATACTACCAGGGCCATCCGAGGTTTGTGGGAAGGCTGTCACTTGAACCTTGACACTGGGTATTTCAGGCACACACTCATTTCATTCAAGGAGGAGCCCTGGTGGCAACATGGGTTATGCAATGGGGTGCGCACCAAAAGGTCAGAAGTTCGAAACCATCAGCCGCTCCTCAGTCGGGTCTTGGGTGGTAGGAGAGAAGCATTATTAGGAAAACTGAGTCCAGAAGCCTGAGTGGAAGCTAGAGGATAAGGGTGTGTTTCCAGAAAAATGAAACAACAGTACGCACAGTCTTCTAAAGGCAAAACAAAGTTGCCAACTGGTTCGGTGTAAAAGTAGTTCAGGGGAGCCTCAGCACCAAGGACAAAGGGGAAATTGTCAAGGGGCAGGGTTAGAAATGAATAAGACCAAGTGTGAAGGACTTTCAAAGTCAGGTTAAAGAGAGGAATTTATTGTGGGGACAACCACCAGGAGCCATCAGGTCCTTTTAAGAGGGGCAGTGACTGGTTCAAGTTTACATCTAGAATGGTGGTAATGGCCCCAAGGGCACTGCACGGTTATATACCGGCAGAGTCCAAAACCCACACCTGGTAAGATATGTCTGTAGATTTAACGTAGTCGGAGGGGTCACGACTTCTTGTCCAGCTCAATTTTTAAAAAAAATCATTTTATTGGAGGCTCATACAACTCATCACAATCCATACATACATCAATTGTGTAAAGCGCATTTGTACATT